TGATTTCTAATTTAGACAAACTTTCTGCAACGCGTGGAAAAAACAAGGTGAGGTCGTGTTTTTATATACCTACACTGGGGTGGTTTTGGGGATACTTTATATTATATGGCATAAATGGAGCGTCTAGGATTCTGACATGTTTGGCCACTGACCGTATTCCTTTTCTGTGGCGCGTTTGCGAGGGACCGTGTGTTACTCGGCGCATAGCCCTCCCTGAGTGGTGGAGCGGCTTATCCTATTCCGCTTGGTTGGAGACCTACGATCGAGAGAAATCCATAGAAATCCGATGGTTTATGGCGTCATCCCTATTAGTATTTGCCCTACAAAATGGGAGGTCTTGGGACCTCTATAAGACAACTATTTTATAGCAAAACAGTTTTTGTTGCTAAAACTTGGGTCATTTTGTAGACGCTTTTATGTGCCATAAAGATCATTGAGACCTAGGATTCTGTAGATATATTTTGGTCGTGAGTGTGACGGCCAGTGTCATTCCAACAAGCATGTTGTAGACCCTGATTCCTTTGAATGCTCAGTTTGTAGAAACATAAACTTGGAGACAAATTACTTTCTGCCAATCTTGACGTGAGCGCATTGTGACCTGTCATTTTGTAGTGAATTTGTTTGTGCAGCCCCGTGCTTTTGTGGAGCCAGACAGCAGCCCTATTTTTGGTAGAAACCCCTCATAAAATGCTGTGGCCAAGATCACCATACTAATTTTTACAGGGATCTTGCGTCACTGAAAATCAAGGTATCACTAAGAAGAAGGGACCCTAATTACGGACGATTCTTTGTATGTGAGCGGGGTGAAAACGAGTGGTACGAAGTGGAATCCATTGTCCTAAGTCACTGTGAAGCATTCCTTCTTGGATTTGACCATTGGCATTCAAACGCTTTCAACGAGCATACCCCCCATGCCTTCGACTGAGGAACGTGCATGATTCTTAGCTGCAGTTGAAGTTGTGAACGATAAACATACTTATGGCGATGTTTACATGATAGTACGACCTGTATACATACATACACGTATAGAGTACATGATTTTTCAATATGTTTCACATCACACACGCACACACACACATATGTAAATATATATATCGCTATGTCTCAGTCGCTGTGCAAGACTCGTCCGCAAGAAAGGCATAGAACTTGAACATACACCACCTCCTCCACCTCCACCTCCACCAGACCACCACCACCACCACCACCACCACCACCACCACCACTCAGCTCGGGTGGTTTCTGCCACACCCCTGGCATCGTGTTTAAAATCCAATGGCCATCCAAACCGGGTGGTACTCGTAGTGGTCTTCCAAGTTCTCCATGTGTTTGGGTACTCCGGGTACTCCGCACCGTGCCGGCCGAGCCATCAGGCAGTGGACAGAAAGCAAAACTGGAATAGACTAAGACAGGAAATGCTCGCTGTTTGAACAGATTCTCAGGATTTGATGCAGTTTTTGCTGAGATCCGTGACACTCAGGCCGTGATTGTGTCTCTAAGCCACAATCAGAATAGGCTGCATTGCATGTGTTTCTGTTTTGGGAGCATTGCAATGATTCCAGCTCGGAAGATTCTTCACTTCACTCACTTCGCTCCTGTCGTTCTTCTATTTTGACGTGAACATTGTAGACACCGGAAGCCTGGAGGATTTCTCCTGCCCCACACATGGATGGGGCTATAACGCCATAAAGACTTGTTTTGGACTTGTGATGGTGCATGGTGCACCCCTGAAAACGATCAAATCCCTCCCGGTCCAGCCAAACCTCCCAGTCCAGCCTAACATCCCCATCTCTTGCTTTCCAAGTCATTTCACGTCATTGGTTTTTGCTAGGGTGCAACAGCCCAGGACATGCCCTTTTGGATCGCAACCAACCTGGACCTGCAGCTCCGGCGTCGCACCTGACGCCGCCGCCGATGCGTCGAAGTTCGTGAAGCGGTCTGAGGCGGAGGGACGGGAAGCAGCGTGGTTGGGGAACAATCCGAACAGCAGCAAGGCAGAGCAGAGCTTACATGACCACGCATGACAGTAATTATTTTATAATGATTTTTCAGGGCGGTCCGGCGGTATTCGCATAGGAGCCACCGTGCATAGTCTCCAGTTACCAATTAAAAGAGCCAAGGTGATCCTCTGCAGAAGGTGATGTAAAGTTGGTTGCGCGGTGCAGGCCTGTGTCCATCCAGACCTTTTCGACATTGCAACATCATGGAATGTGAGCATTTTTCAAGTGAACATTCATGTGTTGTGTTGTACAAGAGGCACGCGCAAGAGCTCTACACAGTGCAAGCACTGTAGCAAAAGAAACAATTTCTCTCCCATGTGGTATGGCACACGACCCAAAAACACCTTTGCAAATGCTCTTCTCTCAGGAGGAGAGTTCTTTTGCTGGGAGGATCCTGCAAGACCGTGTGCAAATGTGTGTAAGAACTCTATATAATTCTATATATAAATAATACATAGAAATTTATAAACACATACAATTTCAATCAACAGGAGACGGACTCTGACATTCCACCTTCCAGCCTGTTCCCACCCCAAGTCTGGTCACTTTGTTTCTATACCAACCATTTGGCCGACACCTGCACCTGATGTACAGACCAATTGGGTGCGACCCGCCTGGTGCGACAGCATGTCCCTACGTCGGACAGGTCCTTCACGGTCGCGCGAGTCGCTCCGATTCTACGTGACGGACCTGGCGAGTGAGGAAGGACGAGGGCCGGGCGATCCTTCACTCAGTCGGTTTGGTTGAAGGTGTTCGTCGAGTCCGGAAGGGGACTCGCACAAGCAGTGAGTCGGTGTCAATGACCATGTGGGTGAGCTACCCACAAGCAGCAAGTACTGGCAGCTGGTCGTTGAGAATCAAGTACTGCAGTTGGATGGTTTGGAACCATCCTTAAGATACCCAACACCCAGAGGCTAATGGACCCTCAAACTGATACATGTTTGAGGTCCAAAACCCTAGTTGCGAGGGTCAAAACATGTCAAAACCTTAGCTATGAGGGTCCAAAGAGCTTTGGGGTGACGAGACACCCCAGCAGCCTTTGGTCGTTGTTGGTCGCTGATGGCTCACGTGACCCAGCCGGTCGCGCTGACGGCGGATGGAAAAAAGAGCTGATTCGGTGCCAGGTCCCGGACGCGAGGTCCGAGCTGATTCGCCGGTTTGGCCAAGGAAACGCCTAACTTGGCGCATGTGTTTTTTTCTCCCTCTCCGCATGCCGCATGCCTATAAGACGTATATTTGTCATGATGCACGATGGGAGCAGCTTGAAAGAATATCAAGTCTGGTTTCTGTGGATCCCGTGCAGATCCAAGATGTGGATCTCAGGTCGACCTGTCTGCTTCACTTCAAAGAAAGGCGAACCGGACAGAGTCACGGGAAGATTTTTCGGAGTTCAGGATCGGAGTCACGGGCGCAGCGGGGTAGCTAAAGAAAGCAAGTTCTTCCCAGAATGGGTTTGGAAGACTGGATTGTGAAACAATTTTCCTTTTACCAGGCCGGTGCTACACTCCGCTCATTAAAATGGAAGTGAGAATGCTAAAAGATGTACTCTTTGTCACTGTTTGTGCAGGAAAGTATATTAGTATTAGTATATATACTTACTAGTAGTCTTCCAAGGGACCAGGCCTGCCCCTTCCACTGTGATGTGTTCGTCAGAGTGTGTGACTGGGGCGGGCGTGCCGTCGGATCCGGACATCTTGGCACCATTCGGGTCTTGGCCAGGTACCATTCAATCAGTGACCCCAATGGGGTGAGACCCCATCCATGGATCATTTGAGACTGTCATCTTGGATCTTTGTGAGTATCTTGAATCACGAAAACAGATTTGCTTCTGCATCACCTTTGAGGTACTCGTACATGACTCGACTCCGTTACTCAAAAAATAGCAATTCTCACCGAGCTCACAGCAAACAAGGTCACCCAATCATGCGCCGAGTCAGCTATTCAACGAACGGTTCATACGTAGGGTCCGTAGGGTTGATATTAGCCAAGTGAATTCCAGAAGCAACTGTTGGGCAAACGCACCGTTCGAGGCTGAAGCCAGTCATGTCAGCTCATCGTTTGGGTCCTCAGCATTACTTCTTCTTCTTCTTCTTCTTCAGAGATCTCGTACCGACCCATCAGCGAGCCAACCACGAGGCTTTGGAGTTCTTCTGCGGGAACGCCCTTCTAATTCTCATATGCCCTTTGTAGGGGACGGACGCCGGTTCGTTTTGCTTCCGGGGTGAAGGTGCCCGCAGGGTTTTCCGGAGGCGGTGGAGAGGCCCGGGGAGAGGGGAGCCAGAGACCTGTAAGACCTTTCAAGATAGTCAGATAAATGGATTGAGAGACAATGGGTAGAGGGAGCGAGAGATAGGTTGACAATACAGTGAACCCTGGCAGTGATTTCCAGAATTCGTATCAGACACTTTGCATCACTTCAGGATCATGATTTTGCCAATGCTCAGAGCCGCGCAGATCCGTCCACTCAAGCTCCAAGCTGCATCACAATTGATACCATGGCCCAGGCTGCTGCTGTCGGAGCCCTTCTCGGTGCCAGCACCGCCTTCTTGGCACCCAGTGCCGCCCCTGCCCCTGCGCCTGCCCTCCGTGGTGCCCCTCACAGCTCCCGTGAGTCCACCGGCCCTGGCCTTGCCGGTGCTGCGGGTGTTGGTGCGGCAGCACTGGGGCTGGGACTGCTGGCAGCCCGTCCGGCGACCACCGCGTGCCGTGCGGCAGCCGTGAAGAAGAAGGGCGTGAAGGTGGTGCACGGCAAGGAGATCCCATGGAACCTCTTCTCCCCAAAGGCGCCTTACCAGGGAAAGGTGATTGAGAATGACGTGCATCCGCAGACCTTGACCGAACCCACTGGCGATGCCAACTGGGAGACGACCCACGTGACCTTCGACCATGGAGGCAAGGTTCCTTACATCGAGGGCCAGTCCATCGGTGGCTTGGAGCAAGAAAGGTTGTTCAGAGCGTCGGTGACCGGTCTCTTCGCCGACGGCCTCTGAGGCGTCATTGCGCCGGGACCTGACAAGAAGCTCGGAGCAGAGGAATGTTGATTGGTTTCTGTGCAGTCGCTCCATACTTGTACCGACCCGAAAATAGAAAAGTAGATCATAGTAGATCCCCACTCAAAATGCATTGGAAACGGCTTCTATCTATTTGGGGGCCACTATGATGACTTTCGAATTTGTTTATGCCAAGGATGTAGCCATAGCCGGAGGCCCATGGTTTACGGCCCATGTTTGGCCCGAGAGGCCCTAGACCTTCATACTGCTTGGGCGGCCAATGGTTCACTGCAGCAGATTTCAAGTTCAAAACCCTCATAGAACCACAGAAAGCAGCAGTGAATCCATATTGGTCCCATCATTCTGTGAACCATTGCGAGTCCATGTTCTTTCATGACTTGAGATGGCCAATGACACAACATGACACAACCATTTTTTTGGGTTCCACCCACCCACCAAAACACGCCTTGGCAAAATATGCGCGCAGACAGAAGAAACGACCCAAAAGCACGCAGATGGCCCAGGAAGGGCGAGCAGCCTGCTAAGATCCGTCTTTACTCGATCGCCTCCTCCGCGGTGGGCGACAATCAGAACTCGAAGACGGCGCCCTGGCTGAACCGTGGAGGTCCGTGCGGCGTTCCGTGTGGGCATGAGGGGGTTCGATGGGTAAGTAACATGCGAACGGTTTGGGTCGAGGACTCCGGGCCTTTACAGCTCAGGTGGGTAAGTATAGATGGAGATGGAGATGATGACGCTTCAACTTTTAAGCCTATCTTGAATCCGGAGTGTAGCTTCTGGAGGAGCAATTAAAAAGCAGTTCCTGTACTTCACTTCAAAAGGTCCCCACCATCCCTAGGCTCACACATGCACATACGTGCTGTGTGGTGTACATACTTGCTGTGTGTTGTTGCCTATGTCCCAAACCTGTTTAGAAACAGCTGCTTGCGCAAAGAATCACAGTTGCCATGTAACTAACATTCTTGCAGGCAGATGCACTTCGAGTGATCACCCCAACAAGACAGTCACAGAGAACACATAGTAACATATAGTACAGTAATCTACACAGAGCCGGCGTTTGAGGTCCGGTGAGGAACACTGCCAAGCGGAACTCGCGGTTGAGGTCCGGCGGGGAACACTACCAGCCGAAGCTCGCGGTTAAGGTCCGGCAGGGAACACTGCCATGCGGAACTCGCGGTTGAGGTCACCAGCCGAAGCTCGTGGTTGAGGTGGGGAGGGAACACTGCCATCTGGAGCTGGCGGTTGAGGTCCGCCGGGGGGGACTGCAATCTGGAACTGGCGGTTGGGGACGGGGCGGAGGAGGAGGATGAGGAGGAGGAAGGCAGCCGACATAAAATTTAACAACCCTCACCTGACAGGTGGGGAATTAGGATCTGGTTGTTGCGGGGAGCTGTGGCTTCGAAAGCGTGATCCTGATGCACTGCTGTGCTTCCTTTTGTGTGTCGCTTCTCCACTCATGTACTCACATATTGCTGCTTGGAACTGCCGGCGCCAGGATGGCTTCTTTGCTATCAGCTAACTAGAACGCAACTACTAGTTGCTAGTTGCAAACCTCCAATAGTTGAAGATGGGGGCAACGCACGTATGCCACTATATGTTTGTGGGCCTCTTGCACGCTTACAGCACTCAACTATATTAACATATATTAATCAACTACATTTGCAGCTGCAGCTTCAGGGCGGTGACACATCCAAGGTGTCCCTGTGCGTGAAGCGTGTGGTGGAGGTGGACGGCAAGTTCGCCAACCGCGAGAAAGGTCAGGACAAGCCTGACAAGGCCGAACACCGGGCCATCCCGGCTCACAAAACATCAGAGCTTCGAGCTTCACAACGGCCTCTGGAATAAACGTGGTTAGATCAAAATGATCAATCTTGTCCATTGGCTGAGTGAAAAAAGTAACAAAGGGTGGTTGAGATGCACAAGGGGGATTTGTTCTTTGAACGGGTCGCTTTAGGGGACCTTTTCGGATCCATGATTATGTTCGACATGTTGCTCGCCACGCCAACGACAGCTTCTTTGGGAAACGCAAGCCTGAGACCGTGCCCAAGACCCCACGCTTTGCGCTACCGCACCAGGCGGGCACCGCCTTCCCGGAGAACAAGGTCTACCGTGGAGTGCCTTGAACCTATATGCCCAGGGATCGGGGGCGCCCTGTTTAATTAAACATAACCTTTGGTTTCCAGAAAAAGTGAGGGGCCAGTGAAGACCGCCAAGAGCAGGGGGCCAGTGGGCCTCTGTGGTGGGGGGACTGGGAGGGCAATGTAGACTCTTGATTAATAAACCCCCAAATTTGAGTTGGACATCCTCTGGGGGGTTGTTAATCAAGAGTCTACATTCTATGTTCCGGTGTCATTTTCTAAGAGTGTTTGTTCTGGATATCTAGTGTTGATCAAAGGTTCGAACTCCAAGCCAATGTCATGGTAGGTTGACCTTCCCGTTTTTGTCATTTAATTTAGGTTCATTGTGGCAGTGACCCCTCCAATATGCATCATGTAGCAGGTGAAAGGCCCCTTTGGAAAAGGTGTTCTTGCAAGATTATATGTATAAGACGAAGTATAAGGCCATGTCCAGATGGGATGCGCCAAGAGTGTTTTTCGACAAGAGATGTCAATAGAGTCTTCTGTTGAGGATTCAAGAGGTTGTCGGGTTTGAGAGGAAGAATGGTCCAGAGTTGTTTCTTGGTACATATGCCGCTTTTGACCCAGTAGAGGACGTGTCTAAGGAATTGTTTAAGCGCTAGCTGATCCGGATCTAGGAATGAGGTTTAAGGTTGATCACTTGGATAGGGATATTGAATTGCCCAGTTGAAATGACCTGGCTACAGAGGTTCTTATTGAGCTATATTGAGCTTAGATGTTCTTTTCAGAGTGTGTCTTTGACTTCCGCCCAGTGTGGCCCTCTGGGCCCTCGGAGTGGCCGGTTCCAAAGCCGCGGTGGCCGAGGTCTGCTCCAACCACATCTGCGACATGACTCCGGGGGACGAGGTCCTCATCACCGGCCCGACGGGAGCAGAGATGCTGCTGCCCGAGGATCCGGAGGCTGCCTGGACTGGGGGGGTGTATGCGACCTGCAGGTGGAAGCTGACTTTCGGCATGGGCTAGGACCCATCTGGACCTATCTCCCACACCAACATCACCAACCTAGAGCTCAGCTACTGATGAGGAACATTGAGGAACTATTTGTTGCACCACATAGGTTACCCGACTCTATTTCCTGGGGTTGTTTACATCAAGAATCTTTCGGAGCACGGCAGAAGAACCACAAGTTTGCACATCCAGCGGCCCAACTGTTGTGTGCCCTCCGCTTGCAGCCCGGTCACAGTTTCAGTCCGTCCGTCTCTAATGGAGCTGTTTGGAGCTTTGGGGATCCATGGTCGCATGAGGGGGGCCGATGGAGACCGAGGGGCCCGGCCAGGCCAACATCATCATGTTGGCCACTGGCACTGGCATTGCACCCATGCGCTCCTATCTGAGGTGGGCGGATCTGTTGAAAACAGTGAGACTTGACTCGTAAACTCCTCAGGTGCCGCAGTTCAGCGGTGGTTTGTGATCCTACTTTGGACTTTGGCTTTGTTCTGCATGCTGCATCATCGTTTTCAAAGTTCTTCAGGATCCCAATCAACAACCGATTGCAACATTTGCGGTGCCTAAAGCTCGAAGCACATGTTCATGTTGGTCACCTCGAACTTCAGGCTGCTCTTCCACGACAAGGCCGGCGCCGGTGATGGTGGCCGCAAGTTCAAGGGCCTGGCTTGGCTCTTCATGGGCTCCTTTGTCATGATGTGTCTGTGTGTCGGTTTGTGGAGCAATGGCTTGAGGAAGGATTTGAAGATGTGGGGGGCCGGTCATCGGTTTTCCCCAATTTTCCATGTGGACCTGGTGTGCCGCATCATGCCACATCAGCATCCGTGCTCTGAAAGCAGGTAGAGAAGTATCAGAAGGTCAGTCTTGGCGTGTCCATGGTCTTGGTCCAACTATTGGTCGCGTTGGGATTCGATTGGCAAGTCGCTCTCAGCTCAGGATGGAGCATGATCCCACTTCAGTAGTTCAAATTTGGGCAGACACTCCTGCCTTGCTGTAACCCATATTCATCTAGAGTCCCTAAAGCATGAACCCATCCGCAAAGACGACCAGTTTCCCATTGCCCATTGTTTTTTTTGAATTTTCCCATATTCTATCTAGTCCAGGATGATTATATATGTTGGAGAGCCCCAGAGACAGACCGGAGGCCAATATCCCAGCTGTTTTCGGGGCGGATGGAGCGGGCTGGGCTGCGGGGGTTGTAGACGTTGTAGTTCTGATGTCCTAAAACCAGATTAACACGGTGCCCTTAAAGAGTGGATTGTAAAGGAATATCGGCTTCAATTGTCCAGAGTCTTCACGGGCTTCATGGGGGGTTCCTCATGGCTTTGGCTTCAGCCAAGGTGTGCCATATTCCAAGTCCTTGCTCTACGATGACGAGCATGAGGCCTACAAGAAGGCCTACCCCGACCAGTTCCGCTACGACTACGCCGTCAGCCGCGAGCAGAAGAACGCTGCGGGGCAGAAGATGTACATCCAGACCAAGTGACTCGACCTGAAGCCCGCAATAACAGACCCCCACTTCTGAGCTTTCTTGTTCCAGATCCAACCTGAAGAAAGATGAACAAAGCACCAAGTGGCAGTGCAAGCCTCTACTTTCTTCAAACAACCTTGGTTCACGATGTGGCTTGAGGTTGAGAAGCATCCTGAATCCTCCAAATGGAGAGCTCTACAGTCTTTAGCAACAAGGGTTTAACGTCCCGCTGTGGGACATGTACCAAGTGTACCTCATGTTGAAACGGGCGAACCTTCCCCTTTCGCGTGAACCGGGCGCGCCGACCGGGGCTCACGCGGTCGCGCGGCGACCTAGGATGGCTGAGTATGCTGAAGAGCTTTGGGAGTTGATGCAGGATGAGAAGACCCATGTCTACATGTGTGGCTTGAAGGGTGCCTCGGCTGGCAGAAAAGGAGGATCTTGAATTGAGGTCAGTTGGTGGTGCAAACAGTAGGGAACCACCATGATGACCGCACATAGACAGTATAGACTGGACAGTACACGATCAGCCGTCGGTCTGGATCCGCAATGATCGGTCTTGTAGTGAGGTTTCACATAGCTGCACAGATCTTGAAGAATATTCACTGCGTGCTTTCAAGCAAAATAGGTGGTTTCTGTCCCCACCCTCAGACATCATCAACCCAATATATCACAAAAGGTAGCCTCGGCTATCCCCACATGAGGGACCCCCTCCGTTCATTGGAGTTTCACATCCACTTTTGGGTAGGCAGGGGGTGGCCAAGGCAGCACTCTATGTCAGGGTCGAAGGCTGCCCTTTTTGATGCCGTTCCGCCCTGGATTAAGCCCTGCATGGGTCTCACCGGAATGGAACTGCTGGGGCAGCGAATGGCAATGACATATGAAGAGAACCCCGAATAGATAGAAGTTCGTAGGTCCCCACAAAAAAAGTATATATTGGTATATATTGGGAACCGTTTCTATCTAGTTCCTATCTATTTGGGAAACTTTGGGAATCACTATGTTCTGTTTGGTGGTTGGTCATTGACCTTTATATAACTACTTCAAGCCACAAGAAACGGTTTCACCCGTTCGCCGGGGCGTCGAGAACTGGGCATGATCAGCACAAGACGACCAGGCATGGAGAGTGGCATGGCGGAGTGCTTCGGCCCCATTGCCGAGAAGAACGGCCTGGTGTGGACCGAGTTTGCCAAAGCCATGAAGATGCCTGGAGAATACAGGGGAAGGATGCTGCATCTGGCTGTTCGCACTTCACCAGAGAAACCAATGAACCGCGAATAGCTGTTGGTGGGCACATGTAGGCACTATTTCCCTATAAGGCATTCATTGCAGATGAAGTGACTTGCAAAACAACACAAACAAAGCTTAGCAGGATTTCAACTCTTTTTTACATCAATATCAATAGCACGAAAGAGCACTGATGCGTTGGCCCACTAACATGGTCGCACCATGGTCCACTACATTCCACGTCTCGATGCACCATGCGATGCCATCGATGGGTAAGATTTGGCACTAAACCTCGCTTTTCTGGGGAGTGGCATCACTGGTAGACACCACTGGTGGACTACCACTGGTGGACTACTATATACTGGTAGACTACCACGGGTAAACTGCCACTGGTTGCCCCTTCTGCTTCAGAGAGTCATGAGAAGCCCTGGCTCCTTGGGTCCTCTACATCGGAGATATTTGGATATCAGACTCGTCATTTCTACGGGAACACGGGGCGTCGTTCTGTTCAAAACCAGTTAGTTAATTCTTACCCCATTTGAGCCACCTTTCATCACTTGAAGCCCAGCTGCTTCGGCACATCTCGGGACCGATGTCTAGTGCAGGGAGATGGAGGAGTCATACTGACGATTGATGAAAGAGACCCCCCGTCTCCGGAATTGGTTTGATCTCTCCAGCTTGAAAGGCTTGAGGTTCATCAACCGGCAAGCGTTGAGAGGAAGGCCTTAGCCAGCCCCTCACTGGCTCAAATCCCAAAGAGCGGGGCCAAGCCATAAACCATCCTTGACCTTCCGTTGGAAAATGTAGCTCTTCGAGTCTGGTTGGATATCACTGGTCCCGGTCGTCCCGTCTCTCCGGTCGTCTCATCGGTCCAAACTGGTCCAGGAAGGCGGACCGATACCACGTGGAGGTCTACTGAGCCCCTTTTTCGGTTCTCCCACGCGAGCGATGGAGGGTAAAAGGCAGATAACATATGTTAAAATAGAAACATATTAATAGTATATTACACAATTATAAACATTTGGCTTCTTGTTACTATAGTAGTCAGGTGCCTTGTTACTAGTAGCTTCTTGTACCTAAAAAATAATATAGAGTATGACACAATGACTCCGTGGTGCCGTTGTGCACCTTCCTCAAGCAACCAGCAAATATCAAACGCAACCGGACTGGTCTATTTGCTACTTGGGGGTGATTGAAGTGGTCAACGGGGTGGCATGAAGTTGCCAGTCCCAGACAGATCGTGTGTTGGGGCGCAAAACAACACCCAGGAAGATTCACATGAAGTTTGGAAGAGAAGTTTCCTCTACAACCCTAGTGGTTTTCAGGTTCCATGTGGGCTTAGGGAGCCACGGAGTGGGTGAAAGCAGGATGAAAAGCCACCAAACAGCGGCGATTGGCTTGCACAGGATGCGACCTGTGAGGAGTTGAACGACCAGATGGATGGGTCTAACGGTAAAGGTAGTGGTAAAGGATGGTAAAGGTATATAGATAACTCTTCCAGTCCCATGGATGGGGTGAGGTACGCAGATCGTGCCATGGGGACCAGGTCAGGTGGGGCATGAATTTGTTATATATAACTTATATGATCCGGCGGCGACAGTCGCCATGAAATAGACAACAGTCACATTGACTGTCAGTGATATGGTGTTCGTTTTCTTTTCTAAATGCGTGCGCCTTATTTCCTGCAGTGTCTTCCCCACATCAGCCTCACTTTGTATCATGCACTTTTTACTGCAGCCGCTCGCGTAGGTTCATGTTCGATTTGCTAGTCCGCTCGACCGATTTTCCGCGTAGCATGGCATGGATGGTCCATATGGGCGTGAAATGCGTTTCAAGCCAGACCATCTGGGCGACACTGGTGGCAAAAGAGACCGAGAGCAGTGGGTTGGCACTATGTAGCAGTTGGTGGTTGGGAGAGCAGTTGGTGGAGATCTTTTGTTTCAAGTTAGGGAAAGTCAGAAAGTCTCAGTCCGTGCTTGGCACGACGGTGCGGACGTGGAAGGACATGGACCACCTGGTGGTCCGGTCCATCACCTGCACCAGCGTGGCATCTCTACATCAAAGTCCTCTTAAAACCCAGACACTCCATGTATGGTATATATGCCTACATTGACCCCTGAAACCACCCCAATGTATGTATTGTCATTACCAGTCCCATTAGTCGTGTCTGGGAAAAGGACGTCCAACGACACTTCAGGGGTCTTCCCTTTCTGCGAGTCGGATCCTCCGTGATTCTTCGATCGACGAGGCTCTTCTTGTGCCGCCTTTTTCCGCCGACCAGACTCGAGTCGTTGAACACAAGCCGTCGATCTCGACGGGGAGAGATGGTGAGAGCTGAGGGATGTGAACGATCATGTGAAGGATCCAAATGACTTGGTGAACGATTTCAGTGATAGGGTCCCGGCAGTTGCATTGCCTTGGGAGTTTCCTTGCGCCGACCCTTCTGATAGGCCCCTCTGCCCCCCCCCCCCCCCCCCCCCCGCCGCCCCCCCTTCCGATCCCCCCCCCCCCCCCCCCCCCCCCCATGGACCATGGGACTCTACATCCAGGCACCGGACCGAGCGCACCGGTCCTTTAGTATGTTTTGTTAAGGGGGTTGTTTGGTACCAACCTAGACCTAGAGAGGCAGAAGTCCCAAGTCCATCATCTAAGTCTAAGTCGGCAGTTTCTTGTTTCTTTTTGCTTCCTCGGTTTCGTTTTTCCGCTTTGGTTTTTGATTGCTTTTTTGCTTGTTCTTTGCTTCTCTACCTTCTGCTTATTTTTTTTGCATTCTCCTTTTCTTTTCTTCCTTTCTGCTTCTTAGCTGTTCTGCTTTTTCCTTTTCTCCCTGTTTTCATTATCCAGGTTTATCTAGCTTCTTTTGCTTGGTTCGTTTCTTTAATACGGAGGAGGCATATGGCATAAGGAAGCGTAAGGAAGAAAGAGGGAGCAAAGCTGCATGCGAGGAAGTTTCCATCCTTCGGGCACAGGCGCTGCCGCCCCAACCCCAGCCTGCCCAGCAGCAAATCGAAACAAACCAACCAAGCCTAAAGAGAACAAATTACAAAACCATCAAAAATATCCAAATCCTTATATAAATCCTTTAGAGCTATCCCTTTTCAACCGTTGGAGTGCCATGTTCGGTCCTTTTCTCAGGCCACCGTCGCCGGCGGTGGAGATCGCACCTCACCATTTTCAGAGGAGCGGGTGCGGAGGTGTTTCTTCAAGAAGTAGAAGCAACAAGCTACGTGTTTTTTGTACGAGTAGTTTTTGGGAAATCCCTCCAATGTTGGTCTCCCAACTTTCAGTATACATGTTTCCCTCCAACTTCTTCTGTTCGTCCGCCCACGGCTCCCCACGGTCGCCACCCTTTGCAGGAGGCCCTTTGCTGAAGGACCTCTAGCACAGCCGCGGCCCAACGGCGCAGAGGGTGGCCACTACTTGGTACCCAGGCGCGCCGGCGCCAGACCGCCGTCCTGCCGGGGCTCCATCGATCTTGCGACCGGCTCGACGAGGTGGTGATGTCATGACTGTGAAGAGCAAGAACTGGGTCAGTTCTTGTCGATATGTCTGGATTCACTGGAGAGGACTATTTCTGAAAACGCCCACTGGTGGTTGAAGCCTTGGTAAATGCAGAAACGCAGATCTCATGCTGGTGATGTTTGAGTTCGGCACTTCATAGTGGATGGCGCAGAACGCAACTGGTTGGATACGGATACACATCCAAGACATTGAAAGGGTTTGTGCAATTGGTGCGAATGACCTTCCAGCCATCGGCCTGTTGAGGTTTCCCAGCCCAATGTAGGCATAAGTGCTTGGGCGAGTGGTTATAGAATGTTTCACTTGAAACCTTTGAGGGTTACCGCCATGCCACGAAGATGATGATGCGGAGTCCTCAGGAGTCCTCACTAGGCTGCACATGAATCAGACCAAAATCATCTCCCCTGTCACTTGGTGTAGCGGATTGAGTATATAATCTTTTCCTGCACCATGGAAGGGGTGTTTTATAGTCACTATGTATTAAATGTTGTCAAATTGGTCCTTCCAATAGCCACCCGAACTGGGTCGTGCTGTTTCTAGTGATGTCTTCAAACCGTTCTTGGGAGAGTTGCCGGAGGCGCCAGGAGAACCTGCGGCAGATCAAGCCACCCAGATGCTATGAGGCGAGGCCATCGCCGGAATGTTTCACCATCGAGAACACATACCTCTTAAACAAATCTCTCTCTCTCTCTGTCTGTCTGTCTGCCTGTCTGCCTGTCTGCCTGTCTGCCTGGCTGCCTGGCTGCCTGGCTGCCTGGCTGCCTGGCTGCCTGGCTGCCTGCCTGCCTGCCTGCCTGCCTGCCTGCCTGCCTGCCTGTCTGTCTGTCTGTCTGTCTGTCTGTCTGTCTGTCTTTCTCTCTCTTCATTCATGTTCATGTAGATTTGTTTCAACTTCTTTTTCTTGTGCACCTCATACATAGAGGTTTGGATGCAAATGGATAGAGGATACAGATTGCTGTGGCAGAGCATGGGACAAGTGAACTCCGGGAGCTTTCTTGGACTCCCCTAAAGTCGTGAGTGACTCCCCCCCGCGCACTGCAAGGATGTGAACGTGTCATGACTTCTTTTGTGTCGTCCACCATCATCATTCAGACTGGCTAACGGCTAACAGCGGCGAACAGTTCCTGCCTCGCGCGTGACTGGACCGATTGGTCCCCACCGACGGCCCGGTACCGGCCGGCCCCGGTGGTTCCCTACAACGCAGTGGAGGTCCGACAAGAATGGCACTGACCTCCCAGCAAGTTCATCAAATTGCATGATCTCATCTTTTGCCAACTTCCATCTTCTGCTGTGTGTTCTTTTTTCTAGTCACTAGTCCAAGGAACGATTCACCATGATTCAACTCTTCCACGCAATACCCCCCAAAAAAGACCCAGAGATGAAACTAATGATCCCACCTGGACATTTGGTGTTCCCTTCGTTGTCACACGGTGCTTGCCGGGAATCCCTGATTCCTCCACCGCCAGATGCCGGTGGGAATCCCCGCAGGTGGGCCGCGCCGACGTGGATGACACGGTGCCCAAGGTGGCTGATGTGGAAATCTCGTGGTCGATGGAGGGGCATTGTTCCTATGGTCGATGGGATGAGCCAAGAAGCTAAACTAATAATTAGACCTCTAGGTTAGGTCTTAAGCTTCGACATATTTGGGATGACTGTGATGATGATGAAAACAAAAGGGTCCGGTATATATATATATATGTATAGATGCGCCCAGACGCATCTAAAAATGGCTATGACAGGGTGCGTATGGCCACTGAGACAGCTTCACAGAGCAGATGCCTGCTAGACACACCAACCACCATGTCGGAAACCTCAAGGGATGATGTTACTTGCATACTCTCATTTCATAGCTGGAAATATGGGGGGCCTTGTTCTGGGGAGGCTTGAAATGGCTTTTGGTGGCTTCTTGACTGTTTGTTTAACTGTTGCCTTAGTAAAAAGCAGATTGCATATTTTCCTTTGGGAGGCACTGCGCCGCTCCAAGGCCCCTCGCCCAGCAACCTGCAACCCTGTTTCGGGCTTTTATATATATAGAGAGATCACTGTAGAGATCCAACCCAGTAGCCAATAGCGATGGCCTCCAACTACAGCCATTAGTTCATTTCTTTTGCAAAAGCTATGCGTGTAACTGGTTGTGCGTTTCTCGAGCCGAAGGTAGTGCCTTCAGTGCCCTTCCCCCTTGAACAGCATTGCATGTCTTCAATGACCTTTAAACATCGCTTATCATGGTGATTTCAAAAAGACCTTAAATCCTTTTCGAGTATTTCCGTTCATGTAAGCAAGTTCAATTCCTTTTGCTTTTGGGGGGTCCACCTCAACCAGTCTGTTTAAAATTGGATCTCGAGTTCCTGGTTGATGCGTGAAAAAGCACGTCGTTTAGAACTTGGTCCATTCCCCCAC